AGACCGACTTCATCACTCGGCGACGTACCTGTCTAACACATTCTCACTTACCTATCAATGTTATTACCTAGTTTTATTGTATATAATACGTAAAAAGGTACTTAGTTCACTTGATCTCTCGGGTACAAAAAAGGAAATATCATTATTTTCTCTAGAATTATTCATGTATACTGTACAACTATTAGACATTTTTGCTTATGCAAAACACTTATTATTTACCTATAAAAATTTATAATAACTTAATTCTTAATTATTTTAATTAAAATACTTAAATCTAATTATTTAATAATTGCAAATAAACTTAATAAATTAATTGATGTATAAAATTTCGAAATATTGTTGGTCTATTTATTTAATGCGCACGACTAACAGCCCTTTCATGGATACTCTGACTGAGCCGGCGCAAACCGGTTTAGACTCTCGCCTCGCGCCTCGCAGCTCGCGTGTTGTGTTGCGAGGTAACGAGTGCCTGTTTACACTCTCGCGATGCGTTCAGTTTGCTTTGAACCAGCAACGATGGAAGACGTCGAAATAATAGCGGCATCAACTCTTGCCTTAATAAATATTTATCGATGCTTGACCATTTTAAAAAGTAGGAAATTAAAAAATTTCATAGATTTTTTCAAAGATTTCATAGATTGCTTTTTTCTTCGTAGGTGTTGACGAAAGGTAGCCATAAGCGAATTCTTTTTTACTTTGAGCTCTGCTAGCGGTCTGCACATAACCTCGGAAATTCTATTCCACGCATCTTTTACTTTTTGGGTATTTTTATGCATAATTTACTTTGCATATGTAAGAAGCTTACTCGAATATGCGAGCTGTGTATGGTCTCCACAGTACGCAAAGCATATTGATGCCATTGAATCCATCCAGAAAAAATTCTTTAAATACCTAAATTACAAAATGAGTCCAAATTGTGTTATCTACGAAGATAGCTGTCGTTTTTACGACTTTCTACCATTAAGAGATCGACGCGCGTTGCTCGATATGTTATTTTTGCATAAATTGCTCACAGGTCAAATAGATTCTCCGGAGCTGCTATCGATGATATCGCTTAATGTACCTTCAAAGCGCACTCGTCACACAAATAAACGTTTATTCCATGTACCTTTGTCGCGTACCAGTTATTCATCAAACTCAGTTCTGTCTAGGATACTACATACTTACAACACGAAATTTTCTGATATAGATCCCTTTAATTCGACCACATATGGTTTTAAACACGTCGTCATCAAAAAGCTTATGTAACATCAATATAGCATGTTAATTTATATAATACTACAGCATTTTACACACACATACCTCCACACACACAGACACACACACTCTCTCTCACAAACGCATATACACACACATTTTGTGTATATACATATATATATATATATATATATATATATATATATATATATATATATATATATATATATATATATATGTATATATATAGATACATATATATATGTATATATAAATATGTGTATATATATATATATATACACATATTTTTAAATTACTCTTTCTGCTCGTACTCTTAAGTTATGATTTTTAAGTAAGAAAACTGTAATTAGCTTTAATTTAAAACTAAGTAAAGGTTGTATACTATTATTGTAATCATGCCGTAGTTTTCTAATAAATAAATAAATAAAATAATATGTTTTTGATCCCAAATTATTCGCTCAGCCTGATAGAGTTCCAAGAACTGCAGCGTTTCTTCTTGCGACTAGTCCATTTTTAATTAAAGTTGAACGTGTAAACCCAACAAAACAACACAACCTGCACGGAAGGGCGCCGTAAACAAACTGAAACGAGAGCGCGAGTGTAAACACCACGCTCGCGTCCCTCGCGAGGCCCTTGGCCTCGTGCCCAAAAAACCGCCTCCGACGCGAGCGCCGCGAGTGGCGAGGCGAGCTGCGAGGCGAGCCACGAGCTAGCGTTTACACTCGCGCCTCGTGGCTCGCCTCGCGACTCGCCTCGTCGCTCGCGCGAGAGTGTAAATGGGGTATCAGTGAGAGCTCACGCACACATCGCTGCGCTATGTATGGGTGTATTCGCCGCGAGCCGTTTGTATGTAGCTTCCCCTCTGGTCGGTTTCTTTACTCATGTGCCTATGTGCTTGTTGTTGTTTTTATTATTCGCTCGAGAGAGCAGGCAAAGGAACTATGCCATACAACCTTGTCTTTATGTATAATTATCCTTCATAGTTCACTGCTTCACAATATGCTGATGCGTCACATTGTGCATCCCTTGGGAGATATTGACGACAACTTGAGCCAGCAGGCAGCTGACAGTTGGCGATGGTATCTAAAGGCGTCTATGCAAACAAACGGCTTATCTTGAGAATCCATCACCATCAGAGCACTTGTTTCACCGTTTCCACTAATAGTTCACCTGCGTAGACAGTTAATACATAAAATCGCACCACTTTTACATATCAAAATCCACTTCAAACTATTATTTAAAGTATAATACAGGAGCAGCAAACCGCCGCCGGTCGAGTTCCCGCCAAAACTCTAGGCCTATGTGCATTGCGAATTTTGGCGGGAACTTGACCGCCGGCAGATTGATGCTTTTTTTATAGGAGAGGGGGCAAACGAGCATGCGGCTCACCTGATGGTAAGTGACTACCGCCGCCCATGAACAACCGCAACACCAGGAGAATTGAAGATGCGTTGCCTTTTTTGCCGGCTCCTGTTTTATCGTTAAAATAATGGTTATACGTGGATTTCGATAGATCAATTGTGTATTAAATGTATGCACGTGTGAACTATTAGTGGAAACGATATAACAAGTGCTTCTATGGTGATAATATATTCCACGTGGTGGAGCCACCATGTAGCTATATTATAGTTGTAGCACGAATGAGTGCTCAACCAGGGAGTACCACGCTCTCACATAATACCAGCGTAAAATATTATCTTAATGCTGCTGTGTTGCGTATATGGTGAGTGTAGACAACCGGAGACCATTTTTACTGGAAATGAGAGAGGCATTCCATCTTAGTCCTCAGGGATAACAACTTATCAGTATTGCCAGATGCCTTGAAACTTTTATCTGTAGAACAAACTGTTATAATCTGTATTAAATCTGTAAATTCTATTTTAACTTAAAATCTGTATAATCAAATAAACCAAAATAGAATTATTGATCATCATCATCATTGCTTCTTTTGAAAAACAAGGGATTAAATACTAACGTGAAAAGGTTTGATTATTGTTATTATATAAAAATATACACAATTTTTTTTTATAGCAAAATTGGAAACATTAGTTTAAAGAAACAATATATTAAAACTCAAACATTTGCAACAAACGAACTAATAATTACTATATTATTACTTTTTATTTTGTTAAATTTCAACAGTAATTACTACGCACGACGTACGAGAGCAAGCGAACGAGAGAGTCGGTGAGTTGAGTATGTCATTCGGACAAGAGCTGACGATTTCCTATAATGGTACCATTGATCAAATCCGTTAAAATGAGACTTCATAGAAAGATACGTGTTAGGTATATCAATGCGATAACGTCTAATTTAGCTTATGATCCGATGCTGCTAGATGCTGGACTCGTTGTGTTTTACAAATTATTTTATTTATTATATTTAATAAATAGATACAAACAAACATTTGCTAGACTTCGTTTCGGCACTTGCGATCGCCTAAAAATGTAAGAAAATTGAAGTTATGTTATAACAATTCTTGACGAGTATTTTTTGTGCTTTATATTATTGTTTTAATATTAATTGCATCCTTGGATGCTTTTTATTTTCTCATGTTATGGATATGGGATTTTATATAATTTACGATAATTATTTTTCAACACTAATTTGCTTTAGACATTTATTTTGACCAAGAAATTATCAAGTGTGAGTGTAAGAGTAATAATAGTACATTAGAATTAGAGCAGATATTGAACGACTGAGACTGAGACTCACTGACTGAGATAACCATTCCATACAGATTTTACAGATAGATACAGTTTAAAATGCTTCGTAGTACTTATGATCGAATAGAGCTAATAGAACTAATAGGACGAACTAGTTCATTGTCCGTAATGAACTAGTACTGAGCAATCTTTAAAATGACCGAGCAGGCACAAGACTACTTACTAATTACGTTGTGAAAAAAAATAACTTTAAAAAATAAAATCATGCAATGATCTGTGTTACGCGGTATCTAGTTCATATTGTTTTAAGTTGAATATTATGGTAATTTAATCAGTAGAGTTAGAAAACTCTGTATAAAAATCTGTATCCAGTGCTAATCTGTATTACGCACCGAAAATCTGTATAAATACAGACAAATCTGTATATATGGCAACACTGCAACGCATCTGCATTCACAGACTAACTAGTAGATCCTATCTGCATTTTACTTCTTAATAGAGGCTAAATGTAGATGTCTATGAGCCAGAGCATCCACTTGCATCTACTTACCATCAGATGGACGGTGTCCTCTTTTTCACCCTTATTCTTTAAAAATAAAATATAACTCAGATTTTTTTATCCGCTTAGAGGCTTCCAGATATTACTAACATTATAGCATAACCAAGCGGACAGTTCAAGGTTACACTATTTGTAAACTAGGCTTTATGGTCCCCACCTTTGCCCACCGCACTTGACAACTTCACATTTGATTTGGTTTGTATAATAATACTGGTTTGTACTTTGTAGTTTGTAGCTTTGTAGTTTGTACTTTGTCACAAACTATAATATAGTAACACTACGTCTACGTACTTTGTACTTCCTAGTTCTTGTACTATTATTTATTCTGTGTTTCTAGGTTTCTATTTTCTAGTTGGTTTAGTTTGTGATCTTATTAGTTATTAGTTTGTGGTTTGTGATGAAGGTGAACAGTAACTAAAAGGAAAATAAACTTTGAACAAAAGAAAATTGGAATTTGTAAGAGACATGATGAACGGGAGTACCGTTTAAAATTACTATACTCTTTGATTATAGAGTACAGTTATTGAAAATAAGTAATCAGTATTTAGTAAATCAGTATGTCTTTAACACCTCAAATTTTGTTATCAACTATTGCCCGTGAGCGATGTGTGGCAAATATAAAAGAGCTTCCTGCGTTCTCTTTCAACAGCGGAAAAATTAAAGAGAATGCCTCTGTATTGGTGCCTTTATGTGTGCAGAACGGAGAAGTGTTCCTTGTATATACACTTCGATCGTCGAATTTAAAAAATCACAGTGGACAGGTATCATTCCCTGGGGGGAAAAGAGATCGAGGTGAGACTGTTGTGGAAACAGCATTGCGTGAAACTGAAGAGGAAATAGGAATTTCTCGCGAGAAAATACACATATGGTGCGAAATGCCTCAAGTCCAGGGTCGAAACAAAGATATACTTATAACTCCAGTTGTTGGCGAAATTTTAAATTATGACCCTCTCACATTACGTCGTAATGTGGATGAAGTAGATGAAATTTTTACTGTTCCCATGAAGAACTTTTGTGATGTTAGAAATCATGCTCACCTAAAGTTTGAAAAGCATATTCTTCCTATTTTTTTGTATGAAAAACACAAAATATGGGGTATAACAGGACTTATAACTCATTTATTTTTGCAGTGTTTTTTACCTCCTGATGTTTACAATGTTGATTTTTTAAGAAAACGAATTGAGTTACAAGAACTTCAGTCTTCAAAACTTTAACAAATTCATATTTAATTATATGAAAAACAAATAAAAATTGTGTATGCTGTGCTAAACATCTGAAGTATTTAATTAAGGGATTATATTTTAAATTTTTCAATGACATGAATGTAAAACATTTATGAATAATGACACAAAAGACTTGTTATATATAAATATATTTTCATGATTATATTTGTCATGTTAATTTAAATGTTTTTTAAAATAAAGTACAATATATAGTAATTGTATCTGTCACAAACATTACAAATTTATTTAAAATATTTGCTACAAGCAAGATATAATTCAAAAATAAATGCACACTGTGATATTGTTACAAGCAATTTTATTCAAATTTAATTAATTACTGATCTCATGAATTTTTTTTTAAATTCCTTGATATAATCATGGAATATTTCTTTGTGAGCACATATTAGTTAGGTACAGTTGGTGGTAGAAGGGTGCAGTTGACAGGTCTAATCATATCTTCATTGTATTTAATAAGGTGCTTAATTCGACATATGAAAACGCAAATGTTTCTGTAACGCCTCCAGTCACTGGAGCAAATTGGTTGATATTCACTAGTGCAAGGGCATCTTTTTTCCGACCAATTTTTCCATGGTTCTTGCTTTGCTTGAGTTCCAATGTAAAATAAAACTAAAGTGAGAACAACTGAAAGAAATTTTTTTAAACTAAATGATAACAGTTTAGATTCTTATTCAATATTAGAAATCAAAACTGTTATAATTGGGAAAAAAAACAGTTTTGATTTTCAATCCTAATGCAAGTACAACTTAATTTCAATGATGAATGTTAGCCAGCATAGGACAGCCGCTATTAAAATACATATTTTTGAAAATTTTATATTCTTTTTTTGTACGTGGTAGAGCCATGCTGCAGCTATATTAGTAGTATAGTTGTAGCACAAATGGGTCGGCAAATAGCAGCTTAACACTGACACACTTAATACTGTGTTACGTATGGTGTGTAGAGAACCGAAGACCCTTTTTACTGGAAAAGAGGCATTCCATCTTAGTCCTCACGGGTGACAACGCATCTGCATTTTTTCGCAAAAGAGGATAGATGTAGATGTCTATGGGCCACAGCAACTACTTACCATCAGGTGGACTGTGCACTCGTTTGTCACCCTAACCTATAAAAAAAATCTGACAGTGTAAATGGTTAAGAATTATTGAGACTCAAGGGAATCCATTAAAAAAAAAAGGATTTGGACTCATAAGTTATTGAATGTGCCTTATTAGTTCAGGTGTTGAACTAAGCAGAAGCTTAGAAGATTGGTGTAGTATAAATTATAAAGGAATACATTCAGCCAAATATTTTGTTTGTTTAAATTATACACACTTGTAAATAAATATCTATGTATTTCAAGGTAGAAATAAATTTAAATATACATATTTATAATGAGCTTTCCGCACATAACAGAATTCTGGTTTTTAACCTATTTAGTTAGGTGTATTACTTTTATGCTTTGTAAATGATCATAGTTCTTAAATGACACAAATCGGTCCAGAAATTATGAATTATTACAAGTTTTCTAAACGCTTAATTTAAAACTGCGCCCGCCGGCCGTCACGAGCGATGACGTCATCATTCACCTTCGCTTTGCTCGCGTTGAACACTCATTCTTTACTGCATGCAATCGTAAATTCCACAGAGTACTTTGAATAATCAGAAAGTAAATTCACTGTTTGCGGTTGTAAACTACCTACTTGTTTTGAAATTTATTGTATTTTGTATATAAAATTACCTTATTTATATTATTAGGTAATTTTAAAATAACATGGAATCTGGATTTGTTAAAGCTCAATCTGACAATCTTCCGAAGGTTGGTGCTTTTATGGTGGATGAATTTTACAGAAATAATGCTAATTATTCCACAGTGCGTGGAATAATTAGAAATACGTGGAGACAAAATAAACAGCCAAGAATATATATTAAATAGGTTTTAAGTGTAGCTATCATTGTACATCAATATCAGTATGATACTTATTTAATTTTATACGTAGTAAACATGTACTTACTGTGACGGCACTCTCGTCGCGCCACAAGCGAAAACACATCGAAGCCTAAATCGCGCTAACAAAATTCCGAAGTTAAAGCAGTATATATAGAATAGCTCCGAGCTACCATTCGGAGCGTTGGCCGCTCCCCGGGCAGAACACCTTGCCCGGCGGGAGATCTCCCCTTTTCCTTCCACCGGCTACACTTACTAAATGAATTTTGTATGAAATGTTCCGATTATTAAAATATTAAGATGCCGAACAGCGTGCTGCGGCTGGCCTCAAGTATGAACAAAGTGAATAATGACGTCACACGAACGGCGCGCTATTTTAAAAGAGTTTATAGAAACCATTCCACTAAAATCGCAGCAACTTCGTCATTTTTAGTCGGATCGAGATAATGTTTTCACTGTAGGTACTAGATTAATCAGTTCTATATTTCTACATACTCAGTTAAATTCATGCGGAAAGCTCATTGTAATGACTGATGTCTTCGCTTAATTACATTGTGAGAAAATGACATTAAAAATTTATGGCTCTTCTTCTTCTTATTGTTCTTCTTCTTCGCATCTTCCCTCTTTTAGGATATATAGTTTTGTTTTATACACTGAATAAAAAGCATCGGCATAGCAACCGAATTCGCAGGGACTTAAAAAGGTGACATAATTTGAGGAGCAAACTGGGAGAAGTACTTTTGGACATGGGCACCTAGACCATGTAAACTCCTTGGGTCTACTAAAAACTGGAGACATCATCAAAATCAGCAGTGCCACTGGAAATGAAAAAATACGAATTTGCAGAAACGAATGTCAGTGTAACACTGAATATTATTAAACTATTATAACAAAAGATATTTATTATTGGACATAATATCTGCATTTCGAGTATAAATATAAAAAATCTTGTTCCATTGCAAGATGTTTTATTTATATTTTTTATTAAGAAAAGGGAAGAGTTCAAAAGTGAATTGTGTGTAACTTATTGACACAATATTCAAAGCGGGAATCGTGACCTTTGTTAAGTCGACAGTAAAATCCAATCTCTCACTTCGAGTTCGAGGTGTGCAATTATTAAATTAATTGAAATGTAATCAGTATGGTACAGTACCAAATAATTACATACTTAACCTAGTTTTATGAAGTAAAAAAAAAATATTTTGGCAAGTATACATTTTTACTAACCGACTCTGTGATCCATTGCCGGGAAAATCTATTTATATTATGAACAAATTAAACACTAGACTGCGGAAGAACGCAAGTGAATTCCAACTTTCACTGCCCTACTACGTTAATATACAGGTACAAAAGACATTAACACGCTGTTTTCGCTCAATTATCTAAATACGATAATAAAAGCTGTAAAGCGGACATTATTCTCTTTTTTTTTATCTTATACCTTAAATGTGCCATAAAAGACTGCGCACTTAACTGTTGCGTCATTATCTTAAATATATATCAGTCTTTTTTTATTGAACTGTAAGTCCTTCCGTTACGATATACGTGCGGGGAAAACTAATTAGTTTTGAGAAAAAACGAATTAATCAAAATGTTCATTCTTGTCATTATATGAGTGTGTACTTTATTGTACTCTTGCTATAGAAGTCTGCTGCATTTAAGCGATGAACATTGAACACTGAAGGCGTTCTTTACTGCTTCATAGGGATTGGAATTTTTTACTATCAAGAGTTACTTTAAACTTTAAAAAAAGTGGGAGTCTGATGGTTAAAGATCTAGAGATTGGTAAAAGAGGAGGAGGAGGAGAGAGCTATAGCTAGACACCCTTCGCTAGTTATAGCTCTGTTAATTTTGTCAACGTCTTTTTTGCCGTACCTATGTGGCCGGGAGTTGTCATGAAGAAGTATTATAATATTGTATTTTGGATAGTAGTTTAACAGTCTGGGTTTTTTGAGTGCCAGTTTCATCATATTTTGCAATTTTTGGCAATAAGGGTGGCACTAATGGCAAGAAGCTCTAGTTCCATAACACCAACAGTAGACTAGTGTTGATAAAAATGCCTGTTAACGCGTTCCGCGTTCCCTTATTTTTGGCGATTCCACAGAGTACTTACAGTACCACGTCTTTAAAAATTCCTCTTCTACTTCCGATTTCTTCCTAATAAAAGGAATTTAATAGGAAGTGCTAACTATTCTATAGGCAGATTTGTAAACTCTTACACAAACTTCCTGACAATGCAGAAAGCAGAAGCACAATTGCACCTATCGACAGATTTCTTATCGTGAAGATCATCATCGTCATCATTACAACGCTTGACAAGTCCACAGCTGAACGTAGGCCTCTCCCAAGGAATGCCACAAAGTACGATCCTGAGCCACCTGCATCCATCGACTTCCTGCATGTCTTACCAGGTCGTCACTCCATCTAGTGAGGGGACGCCCTAAACTTCGCCTGCCGGTACGAGGCTGCCACTCGAGAACCTTTTTTACCCATCGGTTGTCGGTTCTTCGAGCCGACAATAAAGTAAATAAGATTAGTAAGCTGATATGGCCGACCCACTGCCACTTCAGCTTCGTTCTTCGAGCTATATGGCCGGGCCATTTCCACTCCACTACTAATTACTACTAATAACTAATTACATTAGGGCGCGAAGATAATAGCTCTTTAAGAAGGCAGCCTCTTGTGGTGGAAATGAACCCAAAACATTTTGAACTTTACGGAGCTGTGCGCCAATATCATTCTGCCCCTCCGTCAAGTGTCCTCAGCGTGCACATTTTCAATGACGCTGGAATTGGATTAGAGATTAGCTTCGGACATAATTAGGTTTAGTTAAATTTTAATAAAATGTAACCTCCCTGCTGTTAATTTTTACTGTTAAATGGTTCTTTTTTTCCCTAAAATCTCAAATCTAGTATTATCAATGAGTCCGCAGGCAGTCTTTCTTTTACTCTATTTTTAAATTAAGGATCGGTTTTTTTTCTGAGCTTCGGTCTTCCTCATCTGTATCCTTTTCCTTTTATTATTTTATCCGCATCCTCTTGATCTT